TTTTAGGAAACTACAGGATCTTAATGTTTTTCAATCAGGATCATAACTGATAGAATAGGTCTATGTTCTGTGTTATCCAGAGACGTGTTAAAATCTCAAGGACTATCAAATTTAGGAATTCCACTGCCAACTTGTACATATAATTATCTTTTGCATCAAGGTCTCGCATCCAGTTTAAATGCATTATGGAACCTCTGAAAGCCATCAAGATTTCCCAAATGACAACCACTACTTCATACCTTCCTTGCTGGAGTCCAAACTAGTATCACATAGGAAATCCAGACAGGCATAATTTTGAAAGAGAAACACTGGCCTTCTGGTCTACCCAGGTCTCATTTATATATGGAAGATAGACTGCTTTTTCCATCATAATTTATAAAGACGCTCTTATTGCAACTATTCTAGCCTTTAATAGCAATAACCAAAAACAAGGACTATCAGTAAAGGATATAAAACTGTTGCAAGACCTTTGCTAGTGCAAACTATAGTAATAGCTTTCTACTTTCCCAACATTCATCCTTTAATTGGAGAGAGCAAAGGAAATAAAGATTTTTTTTGTTCCTTTTTTTTACCAAAATAAATGAGATGACAACTATATATTCATTTTAGACTTCATTTTAAGGGCTCATTTTAAGTAATGTACCTTCTATATAATATTATATAGTACAGCTCTGAATCTGCCTGCCTGCCTGTCTCTCTGTCTGTCTTTCTAAACCACCATAGCAGTTTTAAGACATTCAGATGATAGTCTACAGTATACAGTATGCTTTCAAAATTCTCGACTATACCAGCATAAATGGAGCAACTATTTTAAGATACTGGTAATGAAGAAATTATAGATTGGAACTCAATATTAGTTCCTCAGTTTTTGGATTTTGGCTTCCTAATAAGTTTTCCTCCTCCCCCTTCTCATATAATTTTTATAATTAATAATTTAGCCTTTATATTTGCTAACTTTAAATTTTAAAAATTGCTCTTGTCTAAACTATTTAAAAGTAAATCATCTGCACTTACTTAGGTTGCAGCTTGAGGGAGCTGATTGCCTTCTCTAACAACTCAGAATATTTTTGATTCCTTCATCCTCACTTGATTCCTGTTTGTCCCTGATTTATTTTTTATTATTACTGGAAAGTTGTTAGCTTTAAATAATTATTTGTTTTTGACAGACTATTAATCTAGGCACCTCAATTCTGTATGTAAATTGTGGATATAAGACTTCCATTTCTTCCCTCCTTACTATGAGACAACAGCCTAATTTCATGTCAATTTTAATGTTATTGTTTTGTCAGCTTTTCCCTGAACATTACCTATTTTGGAGAATTTGTCATAATAAAATGAAACAGAGGGGTCCATTAAACTATGCTACATAAGTGTTTTGAAGAAAATAGAGATATATCTGAAAAAATGATTGAAATAGTATTAATTTCTTACTTCCTCTAGAATTTTGTTTTAAGTGCCAGCAAGATACAGCAAGGCCTACAAGTCTATCATCTCACCACTTCATAGACAAAGATATTTTTTAACTTTTTAAGTGGTTTGAATCTAGGACGCGTATTCTGCCATTGAGTTACTTCTTGTCTATAAATACTAAACTACCTGTTTTGTTCTAAATTGGATACTCTACTGACTGATATTTCAAGTAGATTTTCCCAGATATATTTATTTACTCTATTATTATATCTAATTTATTAGATTTTGTCTTGACTTTATTACTATATAAGTAACTCAAGATGATAAGCATACATAATATTCCTTTCTCCTAGTAACCATATGAGGGGGTTGGGCTTAGAGATAGCGGATAGCATGAAGTCACCAAGATAGCTTTCATGCTTAAGGAGGGACTAAAACTCATTGTCTCCGGTTTATAGGTCAACACATTACCACTACACCAAACAGGTTCTATTGTGAATTATGCATGTATGTGTGTATGTGAATATATATGTATGTATGCAGTATACAGTATATACTGTATTAGTGCCCCATGTTTATCCTGGGGTACATATTTTGTACTCTCCCATTCTAAACTGTTCCTGCGATGAAAGAATATAGAAACAAGTTTTTCATTCTCTAATATTAGTGGAAAATCAGATTTTCATCAGAAAATTTGTTAGCAGGGTTTTGAATTATAAAGGTAACTACATAAGCTGGCTTCCTATTCTATACTTAATTTCCAATATTCAGAGGTACTGTGGATGGGAGGAATGATGTCACTGACCAGGGAAGAACAGAAAACAGACTCCCACTATCTGTCCTCGTGAGATTGTAATTAGACGAGAATAAACATGCAGTGCTGTATGCCATTAGTTACTCCAATGTATATAAATAACCCTTTTCTATATAGAATTTTGAAAGCCAGTCTCGTATAGTTGTTAAAGAATCAGGCTAGAAATCAGGAGACTATGAGTTCTGACCCCGCCTTAGGCACAAAGCCAGATGGGTGAACTTGGGCCAGTCACGTTCTCTTAGCATTAGAAAGCAGGCAATGGTAAACCACTTCTAAAAAACCTTGCCAAGAAAGCTAAAGGCAGTCTCTAAGAATTGGACACCACTGAACAGAAGAAAACAATACAGAATTATATCTTATTTTTCATATTATGGCAAGAACTGTACTGTTTCAGGACTGTATGCTAAGCAATAGTATAAAGGGCAAACATATAGCAATCATGAAATGGTTTAAATATCTCTTAGTCTCTGCAGCATCATTGTTACCTAATACAGTAGTCCTCGACTTACAACCACAATTGAGCCAAAATTTCTGTTGCTAAGAGAGACAGTTGTTAAGTGAGTTTTGCCCCACTTTATGACTTTCTTGCTACAGTTGTTAAGTGAATCTGCTATTATTAATTTAGTAACAGTTGTTAAGCAAAGTCCCCATTGACTTTGCTTGTAAGGTCTCAAAAGGTGATCACATGACCCTGGGACACTGCAACTGTCATAAATATAAGCTAATTGCCAAACATCTGAATTTTGATCACATGATTGTTGGATGCTGCAAGAGTCATAAATGAGAAAAACAGTCATATGTCACTTATTTCAGTGCTGTTGTAAGCTTGAGGTTACTAAACAAATTGTTGTAAAACGAGGACTTACATATACAGTATAATATGTATGATTCATACATTTCCTATAATTGGAATCAACAGAATGGTGCAAATGTATCACAACAATCATGGTGTGTGGAGTTGCTTGCTAATAGATAGTAAGTTAGAAACTCACATACTATATGCACACTTTAAAAAAAACCAAGAATCATTTTTAGCATAACAAATTGAAAGGAATTTTATTCAAGTAAATAATAGACTGTAGACAAATTAAGTAGCATTTTTAAAAAATCAAAAGGATTTTCTTACTGTTTTGTACTACAGTACGAGGGAGGGGAAAGTACAGTGTGTACAGGATGCCATCTGGGAAACTATGAACATACCTTCCACACAAGTGCCATACTGCAGTTATTAACAGTAGAGAAAGCATCATGTTCAGAACATGTGATAGTTCTACTTGATTTAGCAAACTTCTGCTGATCATTTTATGTTTGTGCATCTAGAATATACTGTATAATGTTGTACTGCATTTATCTCCCTGCAGTATAAATCATTCTCCTTTTATAGATGTTGAACTGCTGGGTTTTGACAAATCCTGTTAGCTCTTTGTAGCAATGACTATGGCTTTGTCCATGATTGCTTAGAGTGAGGTTGGTTTATTCCTCTCAAACAAAATCAACATAAGAAATCAAGAACTTCCAATTGTGTCTTGTTTTGAGTTGATACATATTTTTTTTTAAAAAAAAACTTAGTTCCTTGTCTTTCTTTTATTAGTGAGCTGTATTTACTAATAGTAGGAACTAATCAAAGGGAACAGGGCATTGCTTGTTTCCTGATAGAATATGCAAGCCTTCCCTTTGATTGCCCCTCCTTAATAGGCTACTGTGGGGTTGTTGTTGCGAAGTCGTGTCTGACCCATCGCGATCCCATGTTCCTCGAGGCCTTCCTGTCCTCTAAAGTGTAATGGTCACATGACTCCTGAGATATTCAGTTAAATTTCTAAGTATATTTCATTTTTATCTGTAATTTCATACCTTCTGAGTAAAAGCTACAATTAGTATATCTTAAAAGATTTAAAGATTTAAAAACACACTTTAAAAAAAAGTGTGATGGAAGCAAGTTACCACGGAAAGTCATAGAATAAATATTTTTCATTTTAGTTTTAACCAAAAAGCAATTAGAAAACATTTTCCTCATGCCACATTTAAGGTGAATTAGATGATCTCATTTTGGAATTGCAGCTTAATATTTATATCTTCCTGGTAGATGATGCTTAGTAAGATTGGACTGAATATTAAATATTCCAATGTCATGAGTTTTTCTCAAATAAGAAATGAGATTGCCAAAAGGAATGCTTATCTCAGGCTATTATACAATTAACTGTACTTTATGGAGCATTTTCTACATCCATTAGGTTTGGCTTGAAGGTGCAGACAGCTTGCCTGAGGGCCACGGTACACTTGTAATGAGAGAAAATTAACTTGTTTGCTGCAGCTGGCAATTTAGAATTAGCCAGTACTATTCTGCTTGCCTAAAACGAGGGAGATAAATTATTGGCCTCGGAACGATAGAGTTTCCGTGTTTCCCCAGTCCCAGTGGCCAATGTGAGCAAGGCATGGGGCTCCTTTAATTTCCTGCCGAAGTCCTTCCCATGCTGTATGCTCACAGGCTCCTTGGAACGGAGCACCATGTAATTGATGTGCAGTCTGCATTGCTGAAACTTGGACTGCACCATTCTCAGCGTGAGGGAAGATGTAATCCGATCTCTCTGCGCCGCTGAGGGAGGAATCCGTTCAGTCAAGGCTTTGACTGGGCAAAGTCTCCTCCAATAATCTTCCCTCCCGATCTCATTATTCCCTCAAGTTCTTCTTCGACAAGCCCTGCGTATGTATGTGTGCCGGGAGAAGCTGTTGGATCGCGAGCTTCCTTGGCGTTCGCGGTGGAGTTTGGCTGCTGGTTCTGTTGCCCAGTCTTCCTTTTCTGACGTGCCCGAGCATGTCCACATTAGAGTCTGTGACATACCTACCTGAAAAAGGGTTATATTGTCAGCGACTACCAAGCAGCCGAATACTTGGGGGCACGGAATCTCTAAAGGGGAAAAATACCGACAACATGGGCTTCTACGGCACTTTAAAGATGATTTTTTACAAAGTAAGTAACTCGCGCGCTTTTGAAAGAGGCATTATTATTCTCTCTGTTAGGGAGAAGAGGAAGGGAGGAAAAATCCGTATCATTGTAGATGGCTGCAGTATCTCCGTTAGTTGCCCCCCTCCTCTTAGTGGATGGCTGGATGCTTAAAATTCTGTGTGCTGGATAAAAGGCAAATAGCGAAAAGGCTCAGTGCGATGCGAAATGCTTTTATTTAAAAATCTGCATGAGAAATCAGGAAAAGATCAGATTATTTACCTTCGACTGAAATGGGTCTTCACATTCAGCTCAGCGCTTTAAGCTTGTTTCTAATTAGACCTCCCGTATTCTCTTTCGCGTATTGTCTTCAAAAGTATTCTATTTTTATTTTATTAATGCTGCTGACCTTGAAAGCAAATAATTCTTATGCTTCTATGTTAATATTTGCATCGGGGAGGAATTATTTTAAAGATGTGCCTGGTGCATTCCCAGTAGCAGTGCAGAAAACAGGCTACAGGATTTGTTCTTTCAGATAATAATGCTAATACTATATAATACTTTCCTATAGGATTCAAATGTTTTCATGAGTATTTATGAATCATGTTTTACATTATATAGTAGCTCTGCATTAGATTATTCTGAAGGGAATAAACTTTACAGGATGATGTATGATAATTTATTAGGATCTTTTTTTTAATACAGTGTGCATTGCAGAGCTATTGCATATTTTACAATCTAGACTAAATAGGGATAGAAAAAATTTAATACAAATATTGAGAAAATGAGAGTTTGATAACATTCTTTGGCAACTATAGAACGTGTTTAGAATATATCCTGTACTTCTGAGACAATGAAGTTGTGTTTAACATGGGAGTTTATGTTACAATTCTGACTCCCTAAATTTGCCTGAAGAATTTTTTTTGTGAACGTCTTTTTTATATTAAACTATCCGATAGGAACATCAAATTAAAGATTGAAAACATTTTCCTGAATAAGCACGTTAATGTTAATATAGGGTTGGTCTATATAGTAAAATAAGTAATTCTTTTCTAGTGGTTTCCTTATTCTCCTGCACATGGGTAAAAATATGGTTTCTGTTATTCTGTGTCTTGTTTTAAAGAAGAGGCATGCTTGCAAAGAAGGTTGTTTTCTCATTTTGATTTTTAATTCTGTGTGGTAACATGCGGAGTTATGCTCCATATGAGCCAGAATCATACAGATAGATTAACTATAAGAACAGCTTCATTACTGAGAAAGTGAAATGAGTATGCATAGCAATTTACATAGAATATTGTCCAAAATCAAATGTAATACATTGGGTGAAAGGACATAAGTACATTTTAAAGCTTTGGAAAATTTTACTGTATCTTTGTTATTGGTACCAAAGCATCAGTACCAGCTCAATAATTAGTACATATCCATTTAATAGGAGAAAAATAAACATAATTTGCTTTGAAGGACAGCGTGCCTTGAACATTACAAAGGCCATTTTCAAAAACCAATATGAAAATATTGGTATGATAGCAATTATTTAAAACATTATATAATATCTACAATAATAAAATCCATCAAATTCAATATTCATCATTCTGCTCAAGCATATTATGCCATGTTACTTAGCCAGTGTAGAAAGTTATGGCTGCATTGGTCAAATTTGAAAAGTTTGCATTATAAATAGATTTTAATAAACCTGTTCTAAGCAATTTTATACAGTAATGAAACTATAAAATTCTTGCATACAGATTTAATTTCAATTCCTTGCCCTAGCAGTTTCTAAAAATCATTGAGCGTATTAACATTTAATAATTGGTTTGACTCAATATGCTGATTGCTAGGTATATTTTCTTTATAGTAGATGTACTTTAAAAACAAAACCTTTTAAGAAATTCTCTGGAGTCAAATCTTCATACATTTACACTTCCCTCCCACATTATTCTCATTAGGAAAAAATAGTTTTATTAAATCTATCAATAGGAGTTAGAAATACAAGGAACATCTCACAGAAAAGGAATTTAATGTCATTGATTCCTTTTCATGAAATGTTTCTCAAATAATTATGCAAGAATCTTTTTATATATTTATTCATTCGATTGTAAGTCACCCGAGTCCTTAACTCTGAACAACTTACAATTAAAAAGAAATAAAAAAAACAAATATGAAAGAACACAGCTGACAAAAAACTAAAACAAAATCATAGGACTTCCATAACCATCCTGTTCCAAGGCCTGGGAGAATAAGCAGGATTTTAATCTTTTTCAGAAAGTTATTAAAGTAGAGGCAATGTGGATCTCATTTTAATCTCATCTTCCTTCGTATTTTTTATGCTTTTTTTTTCATTCTGAGCAACTTAAAATGCTAGTACTTATAAATCTATGTAACCAGATTATAGAAGACAAATTATAATGTACAAGTGTGTAGAAATAAATATAGCAAATATTCTGGGAGCCTAGTAATTATGGCATGCAAGATTACACAGAAAGTTGTCTGATTAGTGAAATTATTTCATTTTTTATTTTTTTAACTAAAAATCAGAGTGTTCATTCAAAGAGACTAAGGGGTCGATAAAAAGGGAGGTTTTTTTTCAAAGTAATATAAATGAAAATATCACTCTGTTCATTACAGTTCTACCTTAAGGTGGTAAGCTAACATCTTTTTTTCTTGTCCAATTTTACAGATGAAAAGAAAGTTAGACCATGGCTCGGAGGTCCGTTCTTTCTCACTGGGAAAGAAACCCTGTAAAGTGTCAGAATATACAAGGTAATTTGGTGTAATAAACTGTCATCTGTTTTCAGATACTTTATCATATGCTGTCCAGGCACCTATTTCATGTTTATACTCAAACAAAAACTCCGTTCTCTACAAAGGACTGAAATTTGACATTTATATTTTAATTCTGAATTAGAAATAATGGGTTTTATAGCAAAGACTCTTGCAGGTCAGGACACTTAACAGTTTACTGGATTGTTTGAAATATAGAATTGACAATATATCTGATACTAATCATAACTTTCTTGCATGCAACAGCATGATACTTCGTGACTCATTGAATTATAACCGTACAAGAGTGCGGAGTTCCATTTATAAATTAAAGCAACATACATTCATCATGAGCCAGCCTTGTCAGTTTATCAACCCTTTAATTTCTTTTGGCCAGGAATTTCAGTATCAGTGCATTCAGTTCAGCTTTACTACTAACTGGTTGCCATAACAACTAAATACAGTTCTGCTGCATTTTGTCATGTACAAATGTGCATCACTGGAACACTTGCTTTACAGGCTATTTATCTATTATTTAAATATAAATTCTTCTCTAAATTCTTTATGAATTGAAATATATTCATTTATATGTTATTCACAAATACTTCTTCAACACGGTTAACTCTAAGAAATAAAAAAAATATCTGTCATACTCGGAGTTTCCTGAACTGCAAGATGGGCAGCAAATAAATTTGATAAATATTTGTATGTCCTCCCAGCTTACAAAAGTGTGACTCTGGACTTACATTGAGGCTGAAGTTAACATTAAAAATATGAGAACTACTTCATTCTAGCCTAATTGGTTCTAATGGTTTCTAATTTGGGGGGAAAATAATATAGATGCTTCTATAAAACAATGCATTTTTAAGACAATATTACTATGAGGCAATGTTACTTTTTGGATTTGAATTACAGATGGAATATTTGGAATTGATTTCACATCATTTAATAATCTGCACCAATAAAATAAAAAAATCCTTGAATTTTTTATTAGACAAATGAAAATAATGGATAATACAAATGAATTCTTATTATAATCTTAAGATAAAATTTAACTCTATGAAAAATCAAGTAATTTAATTTGTGCTGTAATGACATCCTTATTAGACATAATTTTGTTTTCAATGGGAGATTGTAATGAAAAATAATAAAATAATGCTGTTAAACCCCAAAAGCTATCTTATACACTGAATCAGATAACTGATCCATCTAGAGCAGAGGTCCCCAATCTTTTGGGCACCAGGGACCATTTGCGTGGAGAAAGGTTTTTCCACAGACCAGAAAATACATAGTTTTGTGTGCTGCCTGCATCCCATGGATGGGGCTTTGCTTGTTTGTGCGGCCTGGTTTCTGGCATGTTGCGGCCTGGCACCGGTCCACGGATCAGGGTTTAGAAACCCCTGATCTAGAGTAGTCTGCAGTCTCTGAAGCAGAAGGTTTTTTTGTGTAGCCCTACTTCCTGAAGTCCTTCTAACTGAAAATGCTTGAAAATAGAAAACCATATCTCCATTTTTCTTTCAAATACATTTTAGTATTCCTACACAAATGTTTTTCAAATATGTAGACCTATAGTAATTGAGTCTCAGAAGAACTGGGAAGGAAATAAGTCAGCAGCTAAATATTCAAATGTATGTTAGCAATTAATACACTGATTAGAAATACTGTGAGTTAAAGCCTTGCTATTCAGACATTTTGTGAAGTATTTTTCATAATTTAATCTGTTCAAAGGCAAGTCAGTATGAAATATGCTTGTAATCAACAACATAACACAGAGGTTAAAATTATTTTAAAACTTGAAGATTTTCCTAGCTCTAATTTTTAATACAGGTAGTCCTCGACTTACAACAGTTCATTAGTGACTGTTCAAAGTTACAACAGCACTGAAAAATGAGACTTATTGTTTTTCACAGTTATGACATTTGCAGCATCCCCATGATCATGGGATCAAAATTCAGATACTTGGCAACTGGTTCAGATTTATGCTGTGTCCCAAGGTCATGTGATCTCCTTTTGCGACCTTCTGACAAGCAAAGTCGGTGGGGAAGCCAGATTCACTTAACAACTGGCTTACTAACTTATCAACTGCAGTGATTCACTCAACAACTGAGGCAAGAAAGATCATAAAATGGGCAAAACTCACTTAACAAATGTCTCACTTAGCAACAGAAATTTTGGGCTCAATTTCGTAAGTCGAGGACTACCTGTATTAGGTAACAATGATGCTGCAGGGACTAAGAGATATTTAAACCATTTCATGATTGCTATATGTTTGCTTTTTATACTATTGCTTAGCATACAGTTCTGATTAAAAATTTATTTTTAGTTTTGATTAATATTTGTATAAAGATAATTCCAAATACTATATTTTCTGGACAATCCAGAACAGATTTGGGTAGCTATAAAGGGGAGAAGAAAAAGGGAAAGTTGAATTATTAGAGTTACATAAAGATACTGTTAACTGATGGCCACAGTACCACTTGCACATTATTCACAAGTTAAGATGCAAGAAAATATTTGTGCATTATGCTTCTACTTTGGGTAGTATTGCCAGTCCTCTGTCTTTCCGAGCATACTATAAGCTGTAAAACACTCAACTAGATTATTTTACTCCTTACTGTCTTTACCACTCTGTTTCAGTGGACAGTCATCATTCCATGATAACTGGATGTACTAATTCTTCCTGACACGTTTTCAAAAGTTAGATTGGTTTATTTACTTTTGCTTTTTCAATGTGCATCGGGGGGGGGGGAGGATTTATTTGTTTATTCATTTATGAAAAATCAAGTTTCCTATGTATAGTGCTACTCAGTGATTTTTTTCTAAAAAAAAAAAAAGGTGCAGGAACTCCCACATGTCATACAACCCGCCTTGCCTACCCTACAAGGTTTCATCCAAAAAAGGTGCCGGAACTCCGTTCTGGGCGTTCTATGAGAAAAAAAGCCCTGGTGCTACTCCCTTCAATTCCCAGTAGCTGTTTTTGCTCTATTTTTGTTTGCACTTTCCACATGAATTCACTTTGAAGTTTTATGGCTAAGATTCAGCATATTACCTAGCAGTGCCCAGTGACTATAAACTGTTATATAAAATACCAGGGGTTTGGGGATTTAAAGTAATTTGACTACTTAACTGAAGCTCAAAAATACTAGTGAATCAGTGTAAGCCCTTTGATACATCTAAAATAATACTTCAGATACCCTTTTACTGCTTATAGATAACATCCCTTCTTCAATAAATTAAGCTACACGTAACTCACATTTTGTTAATTTTATAGGGTTTAATTACAGCCTTTTTGGACATTTCATAGCCTTACAAAATATCAAAATACTGAATTTGTAAAAGAAATAGGATTGCATAAAATGTGCTAATAATAATGAAATTTATTTAAATAATTAGAATTGAGCTTGCTAAAGGAAATGTTATATTTAATAGAAGTAAGTATTTCTGGAATCTGAATTAATTATTTCCTCTGCCTTAGCACTACTGGGCTTGTGCCTTGTTCAGCAACACCAACTACGTTTGGAGATCTGAGAGCAGCCAATGGTCAAGGACAGCAACGCCGTCGCATTACATCTATCCAACCACCAACTGGGCTTCAAGAATGGCTGAAAATGTTTCAGGTAATAAGTTTCTTTAACTAGCTAATGCTAATAATTCAGAATGCCCTTTTTGTGACTTGAGGGGAAATCTATTAGAACAAATGCAGAATATTTCACTACAAAGTTACACCACTTTTCTCTCTTTACTCTTCTTTTGAAATAATGAAACTTAATAGTCTATGTGTTATATATATCCTGCTCTTTTTTTTCTTTTTCCCAGTCTTTTAATTATAATAAAAGTAAAGGTAAAGAAGTCCTCATGGGTTTTGTCTGTAAGTCGTAGCAAGGTTGGTGCTCATCTCTGTTTCTAGGCCACTGAGCCAGTGGTGTCTGAAGACATTTTTGTGGTCATATGGCCAGCATGATATCACACTGCATTGCAAAGCATATGGTGAAACACAGAGCCCTGTTACCTTCCCACCGAAGTGATACCTATGTATCTACTTGCATTTATATACTATCAAACTGCTAGGGTGGCAGGAGCTGAGGCAAGTGATGGGAGCTCACTCCATCATGCAGTGGTAGGACTTGAACTGCTAGAGTACAGACCTTCTTCAGCATCTTTTAAGCCATTGAGCCACAGCGCCTCTTTGATTATTTTTATTAAATAATCTAAGTCAAACATTACAAGGCAGTACATACCTAATTGGTCCTTTATAGATATATTAAATTAATTAAATATCTTTAAAGGCACAGTACCAAGTATAAAACAAGGTGGATGGACTCAATTATATTGGTGATGGTTGCGCTATGAATTAACCTCGACTTGATGGCACATAATCAAAAAAGATAAAGTTTTATAGATCTTAATTATAAATTTAAATGAAAGATTATTTCTACTTTGAAATATTTCATATATTAAAAAGAAATTTAAAAAACATTTCATATAGAAACCCTTGTGTATAATATTGGTTTTAAAAAAATGCAATAAAATTCATCCATAGAAATTAGCATATTGTAATTTTTAATATTTTTTCTGTAGTGTAGTTGAATATAGTTACTGCCATTGAATATTAAAAAAAGTAAATTCAGCATGTAATATACCATATTATTTTATACTAGCATGAGACTCAAAAAACACTAAAATTCAGTCATCCTTATTAGGCTATGTTGAATTGTTATAAAATTAGTGAATAATAGTAACAAAATTAATATTTCTTGAATAAGCTTAATTATATAATTCCAAAATGCTTTTTAAAAATATACAGTCAAACAATGAACATGCAGAGAAGAGCAACAAAGATGATTACAGGACTGGAAGCTAAAACATATAAAGAACAGTTGCTGGAATTGGGTATGTCTAGTTTACTGAAAAGAAGGATGAGGAGAGTGACATGATAGCAGTGTTCCAATATCTCAGGGGCTACCACAAAGAAGAGGGAGTCAGGCTATTCTCCAAAGTACCTGAGGGCAAGACAAGAAGTGATGGTTTGAAGCTAGTCAAGGACAGAAGCAACCTAGAACTAAGGAGAAATTTCCTGACAGAACAATTAATGGGTAGAACAACTTGCCTCCAGAAGTTGTGAATGCTCCAACACTGGATGTTTTTAAGAAAAGACTGGATGGTCATTTGTCTCCTGCCTGAGTAGGAGGTTGGACTAGAACACCTCCAAGTTCCTTCCAACTCTGTTATTCTGTTCTGATATTATTCAAGAACAAAAATGCCTATTATTAAAACTGGATGCATGTTTTGATTCCCTAAATATCTTAGAAAATGTCCCATGTAGGATTTCTACTTCCTAAAAATTTCATCCGAATGCAACTTTCTTGAAATAAATATATTTTTTAAAAAGGTGAAGAGTCACAAGGTTCTGGGTGATATATAACAAAGCAAGAAATAGAGAAAAACACACATATATATATGCTAGATATATCTCTAGGGCAGGGATGTCAAACTGCCAGCCCGTGGGCTAGATGCATCATGCCAAAACCGCGCCCACCCCATTGCCGTCTACGGAAAAAAAGTCACGACACATCACGTGACGAGTTTGACACCCCTGCTCTAGGGCAAGCAGAGCATAATGCAACCTGGGTGCTTAAATTGAGGAACTCTCCAGTGCTCCTGAGATGTTCAGAACTGACTGACAGTCAGGTTTAGCAAAAGTATATCTGATACATTCTATTGCTACAGCATAGTAGACTTCTCATGTGACAAGCACCAATTTGAATTGGACCCAGAAGCCTAATGGTAACCTGTACAATGACTTTGAAATAAGTGCTATTTTGTAGTCATGGGATCATCACCCAAAACACTGTGTTTCCTGCATTCTGGACCAATCACATCTTCCAGGTCATTTCTAAAAGCTTCCTTACATACAGTAGCTGGTGTTGCAGTACTCTAAGTTAAATATCATCTGTAGCTTAAATACGGATTATGTAGTATATCACTACCCTAAGCACATAGATCTATAATAAAATATTGAAGCTGAAGAAATTTTACATTTTGAAATGGCTAAGCTGAAGTCCTGATTTTAACTCATTTGAAATTTTGTTCAGTCACCTAGATAGTCCAAAAATACCAACAGGTTGAAGCAATTTTGTAAAGAAAAATGCCAAAGTATCTCAAGCCATGTAGGATTGTCTTAAGAAGAACTGGAAACATTTGATAAGAAGTCATTTCCACTAAAGGTCATGCTATCAAGTTACTAAATCGAAAACTGCTAATATGTTTTGCAACAAAGTGAATGTTAATTCAGTATGGTCAAGATTTTTTAACAATAATCACTTTACTGATAGAATTTAGATGAACATCTGTTTACTTTTTAGAGTCACAAACATTCTTATCAGTATACTTTATAATTTAAGAAATGTTTCCACTTAATACTTTCCAAAGACATGTGAAGTAGACTAATAGTCCCAAAATTGAGGTTTCTGAAGTATAGAAGGGTGAACTGATTCAATCATTAATATGTATCTTAATTATAAGGAAGAAATTTCAGTAATATCTTGCATGTTCAGGTATTTGACAGTTAATTGTCAGCAGAATTTTCATACAGTCAGAACAAGCATATAAAATACTTAACCATCTCACATTTAAATATCATTCAAATTATTTTCTGACTCCATATAAAAATGACCTTGTTTGTAGTCCGTGTACAAATTACGTATCCCTAAATCTCAAATTATACTTTTTGATTGTTGAAAGAAGCCTTCCTATAAACCATAATACAATATAGCAATCTATGCTTGTAAGTATAATTTATTTATTTATTTATTTATTTTATTTATTTTTGGATTTATATCCCGCCCTTCTCCCGTAGGACTCAGGGCGGCTGACAATCTATTTAAAATACATACAAAACAATACAAATTTAAAATTAATTAAAAAGAATATTTAAATATTTGTCGAATTTTAAAATATAATTAGAATTAAAAACCCCCTAAAAATTACCCTAGGCCAGTCCTGCAAGCTGGAATA